ATTCATCAGGTATCACAGTTTCCCAGGTTTTCTGAACCAAGTTCTGCACAGTCTTTGTATCCTTGGGAGACTCTCAGACAAGATTCACATAGAGGGCAACAAGAGAAACAAAAGGTAACCAAGAATCGAAAGATGTCTTAGGGCTAGGTGTTATTGCTCTGCAGCTAGGCCAGGTGTAGCCCAGCAGGAATGCAGCCATAAAAACAAATGCAGCACAACCAAAAATAACAACCTTCACAAAGTTAAAGGAATATTCTGCAGCATAAACAAATGTAACACGTCTCTGCCTAGTTAAAATAATATTCCATAGCACCTCGGTAACATGAACAGTATCTGGAACTGCATAAGAAGTGACTTCACAGAGATCTCATGTTCTGGGCCAGCTCCTTAGTGTACCTTGGTGGATGTTTTTTTTTTCTTCTTTCTTTTTTTTTGGTTTTTCAAGACAGGGTTTCTCTGTGTAGCTTTGCGCCTTTCCTGGAACTCACGCTATAGACCAGGCTGGCCTCGAACTCACAGAGATCCGCCTGGCTCTGGGATTAAAGTGCTGGGATTAAAGGCGTGCGCCACTGCCGCTCAACTGGTGGATGTTTTTCTTATGCTGAGGATCCAGCCAACCCCCAGAGCTCTTACATGCTAGGCAGGTTCTCTACCACTGAGCCACGACCCCTGCCCCTCACTGGTGATCTAGACCAGCACTCCCCTGCTGAAGTAGTTTCCCAACCATTCCTGGTTTTTGAGATGTATGTTGCAGTCTTCCAGCCTGGCCTTATACTCTTGCCTCAGGCCTGGCTGTGGCTGTTCTGTTCTCAGGTGCCGCCTTTTCTGGAAGCTTCCTGCTGACCCCTGGTCTTTAGGGTTCCTCCAGCCCAGGAAGGCTTGGTGCTCACTTGGACTTGGGGCTCACCTTCCCTGTGTCCTGCAGGTGGAGCTGGGGCGGCGTCCCACAGTGGAGCGGGCTCCTCCAGTCACAGAGGAAGAATGGGCTCACCATGTGGGTCCTGACGGTCGCCTGCATAATATCCCCGAGTTGAAAAGTCGGATCTTCTCAGGGGTGAGTGTCAGTGGATGTAGGCTAGGATGGGCTGGCAGCTGGCCAGGAGGAAGCCCCTTGACCTGTTTGCTCCATTGCACCCCCAGGGTCTTAGCCCTGGCCTGCGGCGGGAGGCTTGGAAGTTCCTCCTGGGGTACCTTAGCTGGGAGGGTTCAGCTGAAGAACACAAGGCCCACGTGCGGAAGAAAACGTGAGTGAGACAGTCCGGCCCTTGTCCTCCAGACAGCTCTGCCCTAGGGCTTGGGCTTGACTCCCTCGTCTTCCATGTCAGGGTGTCCTGGAGCCAGCACAGCCCCTGCTGGTTTATAGGATTAGTGTCAACTATACTGGGGCGTCTTCCTTAGACACTGCTTTGAAGCCACTATATGCAGTGAACAGGCTCACCCCCACAGAGTCGCCTCCTGACCTGGGTCCCTGCCAGGCTGATGCTGCGCTGCTGTAGTTCCTGCAGCTTTACGGTAGCTGTCAGCTCCTTCCTGAGGGTGTCATACACCTGCCCTGCCGTGTCTGGCCCCTTGTGAGGACCCGAGGATGCCTCAGTGCCCTTGGACATGCTTTTCCAGCAGAGGGAGGGGTGGTGACAACAGATATTACCAGAAGCCCACGGGGTGTTCTGTGTAGAGAGACATCAGGGGCGAGGAAGAAGGGAGAGGCAAGGGCCAGGTGGCTGTGTGGGCGGGGCAAGGCTTGGGTAGTGATGGTGTGGGCGGGTGCTTCTCTCCTGTTCCCTGGGAGCTGTGATAGCAGGGGCCATAGCTCCCATGCCCCTCCCCTCAGGGATGAGTACTTCCGAATGAAGCTGCAATGGAAATCTGTGAGTGCTGAGCAGGAGCGGAGGAATTCACTGCTGCATGGATACCGAAGCCTCATTGGTGGGTGTGTGGCAGGGTGAGGGGCAGACAGGAAGAAGCTGGGTGGGAGTCGGGGCAGTAGGGGTGAGCTGCAGAGGGTAGGCAGGACGGGAAGAGGCCTTGTTGGCTCTCACTGGAAGATGGTGTGGCTGTACGTCGCTGTGACCATTTCCCCACCTGTAGAGGCATCGCCAGGGTCTCGCACTGGGGTGGCAGTGATAGGTTCTGGTCAAGCCCCCACCCTCACTCTAGCATGAGCCCTGAAGCTGAGGGCTGCCAGCAGGCAGGAAGTAGGGCTGGTATCTGTGACCAGCTAGGAAGGCCAACTAACCTTCCTCATGTTCCTACCATGTTGGGCCCCCCAGAGAGAGACGTAAGCCGCACTGACAGGACTAACAAGTTCTACGAAGGCCCTGAGAACCCCGGATTGGGCCTGCTCAATGACATCCTCCTAACCTACTGCATGTACCACTTCGACTTGGGTGAGCGCTGCACTGATGGAGAAGGCTGGGTGCCTTGGGTGCTCAAGGTGTTGCAGCTGACCCTGTGTTCCCCCAGGCTATGTTCAGGGCATGAGTGACCTCCTGTCCCCAATCCTCTTCGTTGTTCAGAACGAAGTGGATGCCTTCTGGTGTTTCTGTGGCTTCATGGAACTTGTGGTGAGGCACAGGATGGGAGAGGGAGTGCCGTGTTGGGGACAGCCACTAAGGTATCCAGTCAGCACAGTACTCTGTTCTCATCTCACACTTCCTGTTCCCTGCAGCATGGGAACTTTGAAGAGAGTCAGGAGACTATGAAGCGGCAGCTTGGGCAGCTTTTGCTGCTTCTGCGGGTGCTGGATCAGCCGCTCTGTGATTTCCTGGGTAGGTCCTATGTGCGACCATCCGAATGAGAAAAAGTCCCAAGTAACCTGGTATTCAAAGCTTAGGGGATGGGAAGTCTGCCCACCTTAGACCAGGTGAGGTTTCTCTGGACCCTCAGCCAGCACCGCTGCAGTCCAGCTGTGAGTTCCTTGTTGCTTGTTTAATATGAGAAATGCTAAAGGCCGTGGCTCAATTGGTAGGATTCCTGCCTAACATGCAGGAAGCCCAGCGCTGCAGAAAACTGGGCAAGTGATGCACACCTGCAGTCTCGGCACTGAGCGGGTAGAAGCAGGAGGACCAGAAGCCACATAGTGAGTTTGAAGCCAGCCTGAGCTACAGGAGACACCCTGGGTATGTCCTTGAGGAAACTAGGACCATGTTGGGGGGGGGGGGGTGTCCTAGATAAGCATGTCACTTTCTAGGCATAGGGAGACGGCTGCTTCGGTCATGAAATCTCCTGAAACCCAACTTTTCTGGGTGTGTAGAGTTCTGTCTACTGCACTTTCAGGACAGCCTGAGACTGATTTCACTCACCTACTAGATATTCTGGCCACTAATGGTCTACACAAGGTCCTCGGTTACCGTTACACTGCCCTAGAGGGACTGTGTCCATGGTAACACCACACTCACTGACCTTCTCAGGGTGCCCGTCTTCCCAGCACAGGCCATGGTTGCTTTCGTGGTGTAGTATACGGTGGTGGCACCATCCTAGAGTACCAGATCTCGTGTGTGCAGTCATGCCTGTCACCTGCCTTGGCCAGCTGCTGAGGACATTGATCTGGACTAGGGCGAGCCTAACTGCTGCGGTCCTCCTCTAGACTCCCAGGACTCGGGCTCACTGTGCTTCTGCTTCCGGTGGCTGCTCATCTGGTTCAAGAGGGAATTTCCCTTCCCTGATGTCCTTCGGCTGTGGGAGGTGGGCAGCCAGTTGGGGTGAGATGCTGGTGGAAGGGCTGGGAGGTAAAGGGAGATGGACATGTCAGAGGGGGGCTTCAGGGTTCATTCTGATACCCCAGGTGCTGTGGACTGGGCTTCCTGGCCCCAATCTACACCTGCTGGTGGCATGTGCCATCTTGGACATGGAGCGGGATACACTGATGCTGTCTGGCTTTGGCTCCAACGAGATCCTTAAGGTGAAGCGAGGGCACTTCCCTCATGCTGCGTTGACTTAGGTGTGACCACCTAATGTGTGGTCTTGGTCTTGTTGAGTGGCTCGCCTTATCTGGCTTGGGTTTGAACTGTTATCCCCCGCCTACCAGGTTACCAGCCCTGTACCTACAGAGCGGTGGAGTAGAGGAGCCTGCTCCTCCCCAGTTAGGGCCCTTCCTGTTATGCTGCAGCATCCAGCTGTCCTAGCGGGGAGTGCTATAGAAGACTGTGGCAGGCCAGGAATCTGGAAGGCCTCCCCTAGCTGGGTCCTGTACCCCCAGGGCGAGCCTGCTTCCTTCTATCCCCAGAATGTGGGCATGCGCCTTACTCTCCCCTTCCTGCAGCACATCAATGAACTGACCATGAAGCTGAGCGTGGAGGACGTGCTGACACGGGCAGAGGCCCTGTACCGGCAGCTGACTGCCTGCCCAGTGAGTCCTTTGCTCTTAAGGAATAAACCCCCATGGCTCTCCCCGCCAGGCCCCCTTCCCCGTCCCAGGTCCGCCTCCCCTTTTGACTCCACCCCCACTCACTACCTAGCCTCTTGGACACTCTCGCTCCCCAGGAGCTGCCACACAATGTGCAGGAAATCCTGGGACTGGCACAGCCCAAGGAGCCCGGTAGCCCGTCTCCTCCCGTCTCCCCGCTGCCGCTGTCGCCCACTCGGGCCCCGCCGCCCCCGCCGCCGCCGCATGAGGATGTAGTCCCGCAGCCTGACAGCAGCCTGGAGATCTTGCCCGAGGACGACGACGGGGCCGACTCCTAGCCCGATGCACCTGACTGGGTTCCCGCAGATTGCCAGGTCCCAAGGCCTGTGGGGGAAGGAGGCCTGGAGCAGGAGGAGACCTTAAGCCGGCCAATGAAGTGGAGGACAGTCCTCCTGGAGGTCGAGGACTTCCAGAACCCGCCCACCAGCTGCCAGTGTGAGGCAATAAACCGTTCTTGTTTGACTGCGCTGGCATCGGCAAGCCTTGTTTTTCAGTGCTCGCCCACAGCCCAGGCTGGCTCAAGACCTGTCGGCACCTTATCTTCCAGTAGCTTCTGATGTCTACTTGATCACAGTGTAGTGTTCACCCAAACGTCGCCTGCCCAAGGCAGCTATATTCAGGAAACCAGAGCAGTGGAGAGTGGGGAAGGGAGCTGGGCCTCTGGGTTTAACAAAAAAAAAAAAAAAAATTTTTTTTATTGTGGGCTATTATTGTGGGTGACCTGCTCTAGAGAGGACTGGGCTGGGAATTAGGCGCTTCCTCCCCCTTTGCACGAAGAGTGCATGTGCCGGTGCCGCTGGGAACCAGAGTCCATTTGCCTGTGTCCCCCGGGGTGCAGGTGCCCGCGCACTTCAGGGATGACCTTCTCATGCATATGCCCGTGCTCGTGCCCTTCAGGGATGACCTTCTCATGCATATGCCCGTGCCCGTGCCTTTCAGGAAAGACTTTCTCATGCACGTGCCCGTGCACTTCAGGAAAGACTTTGTCATGCACGTGCCCGTGCACTTCAGGAAAGACTTTGTCATGCACGTGCCCGTGCACTTCAGGGAAGACTTTCTCATGCACGTGCCCGTGCACTTCAGGGAAGACTTTCTCATGCACGTGTGAGGGGATATTCTGGTGTACATGCACATGCCCCTTCCCCTGGGGAATGGTCTCCACGGTTACGTGCTCCTGCAACTGGGGGATGGCCTCCACAAACACATGTCCCTCGGGGCTTTCCTCCTGTTGCTGCTCATCCTCGCTGACGTGTATGTGCTCCAGCCTCTGGAGAATGGCCTGCTTCTCGGGGCTGGGTACCCTAGACCAGTGCTTATTGATCTTCACCGCAGCCCGCAATGCGGACTTGACAGCGGTTTCTACCCAGCCATGTGGATGGGCTGTGTGCTCGCCTGCGAAGTAAATGCGGCCATAGGGGAGTGACCAGTCATAATCCTCATCCCCATGCCCGAGCAATGGTGGCTGTACCACGAAGCCGCCCTGGCTGTGCGGGTCCTCTGCCCAGCGCTTGACTACGCCCGTGCCGTCCCACAGCCGGAACACGACCGGCCCGTGCAGGGCTGCCACGTCCTTGAGTGCCACACGCAGGGCCTGGTCTGTGCTCAGGCCGGCGAAGGGGGCTGCAGCATCCGACCACGTGTACGAAGCCAGTAGCAGTGCGCCCTCGTCCGGCGCCGGGTAGAATATGAGGCGCGCTGGGCGGTCGGTGTTGGAGTGGCCGCCCTCGATGTGCTCCTCAAGCCAGAAGGGCCGACGGAAACTCAGGAAAACCTTGCTGGCTGCCACGTAGTGCAGCGCACGCAGCGCCTCCTGCCTCCTGCGTGTCAGCGGCGGCGAGAAGGTGATGCGCTGCAGCGCGGGCCCGCTGGCCGTCACCAGTACCAGGTCGCCGGTCAGCACCTTCAGGCTGCGAGACTGTAGCGAAGTGGAGATGTGCACGCGCACATCATGAATCCCCTGAGTGATCGCCACCACCGGCGCATTCAGCAGCACCGGCCCGGACAAGGAGCTCAGCAGCGCCCGCGGCAGCAGGTCCCAGCCACCCACGATGCGGCTGTACCTGCAGGGCGAGGCAAGCACGTTGGCTCAGGCTGAGGCACGGCTCTTAGGGAAGGCCTCGCCCACTCCGGCCCTGCCTCTCCCAGGATGCTACTCCCTGTGACTTGCCCCATCCGCTGTGCCCTCACCGAAGTCGGTCGCTCAGGCAGCTATGGGCACGTAATGCCTCAGCGAAGCTGAGGTAGAAGAAGCCTTCCTTGGACATGACGTCTCCCAGGAGCTGCACGGCCGGCCGGGTCAGGTTGCCCTCCCCAAGGAGGTATTCCTGTACAGTGGGGCAGGAGCCCTGGTCAGACCCTTCCCTGCTGAGCCCTGGATCTCAGCCATGTCTTCTGACAGGAGAGGGAAACAGCCACGCCTCACTCACCAGGAGCGTATGCCTGTTGAACTTCTTCATGGCTTTCTTGCAGCCTAGAGCCTTGAGGTCCTTGGCGGCCTGTGGGGGACAACCAGAGGACCATGGCTGCAGTGGAACAGCCACTCACCCCACTTCAAGTCCCAGGCCTTGTCATGCTGCATACGCCTCCTCTGTAGCTGGAAATCCTCCCAAATACTGGATTTCCCTCATCAGCAACACCCCCCCCCCCAAGTCAGTATTGGCGGCTGTTTTTGTGTGGGCCAGGAAGTGGGGTTATCCTTAGAGGCTCAGTAATTGTGTCTAGACCATTGTGAGCATAGCCAGGTCAGGATCTCTCACAGCCCAACAGGGTGCTGCTACCAGCTAAGTTCATTTAGCAGTTTCCCCTTCCTAGACCCAAGGGAGTGCTAGAGCAGCAGCACCACCAGCAGCAGCAGCAGCAGCAGCAGCAGCAGCAGCAGCAGCAGCCTGGCCCCCAAGGCCCAAGCAGCCTTCATCCCCCTCTCTTGCTGCAGGCAGTAGTGGTTCTAAAATGCATGCAGACTCTTCTGCCTGGCACTTAGTTACCTTCCTTCAGGCTCCCTCTAAATGTGGCCTCCAGCCTTTCTACCCTGCCCTCCTTTTCCTGGGTAAAGGAGGAAGGTGCTCAGGCAGAGACCATGTGGATGCAGACTTAGGGATAATGGATGAACCAGGTGGGGTTCCAGAAGCAGAGGGTTTGCCTGCATCAGTAGGTGGATGTAGGGGAGGGATATTTCTCTGGCAGGTCTGGCCCACGGACCTGAGAGGCACTGGGGAGCCATATGGAGGCTATGGGCAGGGTTAGTGGGTTAGTCTGTGTGGAAAGACCCTCTGGGACAGGAGAGTGATGCCTGTGAGCCGGTCTAAGGCAACCAGATGGGGACCCAGGGTGGCAAAGGTGCTGGAGGGTCCTGGGAGTGCCAGGGGCTACAGTAGAGGATATGCATTCCATCAGCTGGCCATCAGCAGAGGCGTGGTTACACCTTAACAGAACTCTTGTGGGCAGGGCTGGGCTCAGCTGGAAAGCTGGCGGCCACCTTGTTGAGTGCCATCTGGTAGATGTCCTCTGGGGAATGGCCTCTCTCCCTGTGGCTCAGGTTGTAGCCCAGCTTCTCTGGCATCTTCTCCACCACATAGTTCCGCAGCTTCACTTCATTCACTTCCGTCCACGTGTTCTCATCATACTGTATGAACTGAGTCAGGTTGAGGCCCAGGCTCCTACAGAGCTTGTGCAGGATCCTGGAAGTGGGGGGCTGCTTGAAGGAGGCCTGGCCTGCCACCACAGGAGGGGCCACTGGGGATGGGCACAGAGCTGGTGACCAGGGGCCTCAGGGCTGACTCAGGAGCTGGGGGTGGGAAGAGGGTAGAGCTCAGGCAGACTGCAGGCTAGGGGCACAGATGGGGAGGTGAGGGGTCACCCCAGCCCTCAGGAAGGCAGAGCTGGCCCAGCCAGATGGGACTGCAGGAGAGTACTGAGCCAGGCCATAGTGGCCAGGATGGAAGTCCTGAGGGCTGAGTGGGAAGCGAGGTCCAGACCTAACTTCTGACTGGGTGAGAATATGGGCTACACTGGAGTGGAGTTGGGGTGCAGCTTGAGATTCATGGTTCTACACACAGCAACTCGAAACAGAGACTGGAGCATGGACTAGGGATGGGGCTGGATTCTCACTGAGCCCAGGGCAAGATGGGGCTGGGACTGGCTGAGCCTCAGTCAGGGATGGGAGCTGGCTCAATATGAGGTGGGCATGGAGGTGGGCTCTGGCTAAGCTTTGGTGCAGAGGTGGAACTATGCTGCCTGGGCAGGATCTCACCTGTGGGAGCTGGGCATTCGCATGGCCCCCAGCTCCCCTATCCAGCCTGTCTTCCCATCCCGGAAGGTGAAGATGCGGCCCCCAACTCTATTATCTGCCTCCAGGATGGTGACCTAAAGATGAGGTTGGGCAAGCAGGGACCTCAGCTCCCCTCACTACACCTACACCAGCCCCCCCGCCTGTCCTGCTCCCCACAACAAGGTACACCTAGTCTAGAAGAGCCTCTCTTCAGGGTGGAAGGGGCTGCTAGAACAGAAAGGAAGGTTTCCAGACTAGCAGGGAAACCACCAGATAGACTGTGGAGGGACTTCCCGCCCAGGGTAGAAGTAGGGACATTTCCTGGTTTGTACCCATTCTCATTCCTGGGTTTTAGTGAAGGGGACACTTCCCCTTGGGAACTTCTCAATGCTCCCTGCAGCACAGGTCCCCATTTTGACTCTGACAATTACATTAAGAGGAAGTAGGCCTTCCCTCCAGGATGGGTGAGTGGAATGGGGGCTCTGGGAAAGAGTTGCTGCTTCTCCACACCCCACTACCAAGGACCTCCCGCCTGCAGCAGGAAAGGCTCCAGGTAGACAGCAGGCAGCACTTCTCACCTTGTGTCCTGCGTCACTGAGCACCTTGGCGGCTGTCAGCCCGGCTACACCTGCACCAACAATGATCACCTTCTGGGGCTGCAAGGTCCGATTGAGGCCCAAGGTTACCACCTTGAGTAGCTGCTCATAATCAGGGTCCTCCATGCACTTCTCGAAGGGATTCAGGCTGGAGGCCACCTTCCAGTCCAGAGAGGCTGCCAGACCAAGGATGCTGGCCACAAGGACAAGCCGCGGGGCTGGCAATGGAAGAGGGTCAGTGCCCAGGGAGCAGGGGCACAGGAGCCGGCTACAGTCCCAGCACCCCTCCTCCCTCACCTGCCCACTTACCCAGCCAAGCCATGGCTCAAGAGGCAGCTGCTGTCTGAGTGGAGAAGCGGAGGGCACCGTGATGGGGTCAGGGACCCACCCCACCGCAGCAGCCTGTCTCTCCTTCCTCTCCTGGCATGTGTTCCCCAGACCGGATCTTGATCCTTTAGAGTTCCCGGGACCTGTCTCCCAACCCCTGGCCTAGCTCCCTTCGTCCTGCCTCCTAGCCCTAGCGTCTAGGGTCCAGTCCCTGCCGCCCCCACCCTAGGCTCTCACCTCCGGCTCTCAGGACAGGACAGCAGGGCAAAGCCTCTGCAGCTCTCCCTTAAAGCAGCCAGTCCCGCCCGCCCACTCACCTCCCTGGGGAATTGAAAGTGCTTTCCTGGAGTGGGGTCAGATGCTGGGGGAGGAGAAGAGAGTCACAGGAGGAAGTATCTCAGTCTATTTTCCTTCCTGCCCCAAATAGCTCTGCAGGAGCTGTGGGTGGGGACTGCCCATCAGGTGGCATTGGTGGTGGTGGTCCCTGTGCTCTAGGCCTCCTGGACTTTTGTCTTGGGCCCGCCAATCCCCAGGCCAGGCCTCCCCTCCCCATCTCTCCAGGCTTCTCTCCAACTCTACGAAATGGGCCTATCCAAGGCTGGGACCTGAGTTCTTGGGACAGGGCCACATTCTGGCGCCCATCTCAGCCTGATACTATCACATGGTAAAGCACAATATGGTAGGAGTAGAGCCAGGCCAGGGCCTGCACATATCACCTCTCGAGGTCCAGAATCTGTTGCTGCAGCTGTAAGAACACGAGAGGACTGGGTGGTAATGGCCAAGTGGCCACCTGTCCCTCTTTGCTATCTTTTATCTTTTTCCCCCCGAGACAGTGCTATCTTTGTCTTAAGAATTGCTGGGCAGCAGATTGTGGACGGACATCTCAGAGAAATGTCCCCAGAAACTTCTGTTTCTGGCTTTCAGGAGGCCATGAGTAGTGAGGACCAGATGACACCAGTGTCAGCTAAAGCTGGTGAGGTGAGGCAATAGGGTGCAGGGGAATTTTCCTTGGGGTTGGGGAGAAGATGGGTCAAGAGAAAAGCCAGGGTGGGGCCACGAGGAGAACAGAATGGGAAACTCCAGAGCCCATTAAGGGGAGGTGGTTGGTGTATGTGTGTGCTCTGTGGCTTGGGCCAAACAGTGGCCAGAAGTGCAAAGCCACGTAGGCTGGAGGCCTGGTCAAGCAGAACTCCATGGCTTAGGGTGCACTTGTTCTCAACCCTACAGAGGAACTGATAGTCTTGAAGAGGGTAGGGGAAATAGCCTCCTCACAGCCTGGCATTTATTTTATTCATTTATTTAGACAGGGTCTCATTCTGTATCCCAGGCTGGCCTCAAACTCCCTGTGACCCTCTGGCCTCAGTGTCCTGAATGCTAGAATGACAGCACCACTGTGGCCAGTGCTCTTGCTGGGGATGTCCTTCTGTATGCTGTGAATACATGTTGTTCCCATTGGTACTAGATAAAAAGCTGCTTTGGCCTATGTCAAGGCAGCTTAGAGGCAGGCAGGAAATCCAAGGAGAGACAGGAAAGAGAAAGGCGGAGTCTGGAGGGACACCAGCCTGCTACCCCAAGGAGCAACATGCCAGCAGACCAGTAAGCCATGGAATACGTGGCAAAAAACACATTAATAGAAATGGGCTAATTTAAGATATAGGAGCTAGCTAGCAAGAAGCTTGATCCATAGGCCACAGAGTTTGTAAATAATATAAGCCTCTGTGTGCTTACTTGGGATTGAGCAGCTGTGGCACATGGGGTGGGGGTGGGGGGCGGGACCCGAGAAAATTACAGCTACATGCTCTTCCTCAAGTTTCTGGATCAATTCAGCACCAGGAGCCTGAAGTTGCTATGGAAAGGGCGAAGGTGGGGCCTGGCACTCAGGGACCAGTTTTACATTTAAATTTTTTTCATTTATGCGTAACTTCATGTACGTTTGTGTACTATGTGTGTGTCTGGCGCCCAAAGAGGAGGGAGTTGGATCTGCTGGAACTGAAGTTATGGATGGTTGTGAGCCCCCATGGAGGTCCTGGGAATTGAACCCTGATCTTCTGGAAGAGCAGCCAGTGTTCTCAACCTCTGAGCCACCTCTGCAGCCCCCTGGGAGCAGCTCTTGGCTCTCTGGTTGGGGCTTTGTCAGTAGAGCTTTCTTGTAGCGCTGCCACACCCTCACACACTGGGGACTCTCCCCTTGCTAGGGAGCTCTGGGGAGCAAAGAGAATGGGTTCAGGCAGGGGTGCCAAATCCCAAGCTCACGTGATCCAGTGGCAAGGTGTGTGTGAGCATGCACATGTATTTGCCCTTCCAGTCCACTCCCATCATCAGGGGTTTAAGGCCAGCTTGGGTTACAGTGAGACCCTATCTAAAAAATAAAAAAAATAAAAAAAAGGTATCTATTTAAAACTCCAAAATCCCAGTGTTAGTTCCAGCAGTATTATTGGGCCTAAGTTAGGAATCAAGTTTGGGTCACCATTGGAACAGACTGTCATTCCTTGGGTATGCTGGAGTCTTAGGGACAAGGCAGGGCATGTGGGGATGGGATCAGGGAGGCAGGAGCTAGGAGCAAGAGGTGCAAGTGAGGCTCAGTGTCCTGCAGCAAGGGCAGGAGCTGAGACACTAGTGTGTGCCTGTTTCATAACCAGATACACCTGTCAGCTGCTGCTGGCTTGGGAACCCGCTTCACGATGGGCCTTCTATGTAGAAATGGTCTTTGGGGATCCCCTGCCCACCGTGACTTGCTTCTGATCCACAGGAACAGTGCTACAAGTCTAGACCACATCCCAGCAGGCAGACCTGGCTCCAGGCCTCCCAGGGGTCCTGGGGACGGAGCTGGTGGGAGAGGCCCTTCCGTGGCCCTCACTAAGTGCATGGCTTTCAGTCTAGTGGATTGAATTCACTGTCACCAAGAGAAGTAGGTAGGGAGACCCAGGGCTGGACAGGGACAAAGCAACTGTGGCCTGCACCCTGCCTCCCCACCCAAACAGGGGACACTCACTGCATGCTGGTCTTTGGGGGGCTCTCCTGGCGCCCATGGCCTTTCTGGTCAGCCTGGAACGGAAGTCATCCTCTGGTGCAGGCAGAACCAGGGCAAATGGTGATAGCTATGTCCTACTGCCTTGTTAGGCCCGAGAAGCCAGGTCCTGAGGAAGATCAGTTGGTAGGCTGTGGCAGGATTTTCGAGAGAACGTGTCTTTGTTTTTTTGAGAGAGGGTCTAACTCTGTAGCGTAGGCTGCCCTCCAACTTGAGGCCATCTTTCTGTCTTGCCTCTTAAACTCTGGGCTAACAGGTATATGCCACCATGCCCCCTGCTCACCCTCTACCTGTCTTCTCTGACACGGGACTATTTTGAATCATGTCCCAGGCACGCTGTTTTTGCAGGATGTTTCTCTCTGACAGGAATGGTTGAATTTCCCCCGTGAATACTTGAGGATTTACAGCCCAGCCTGCCTGGCCTGTTTCACAATGTGTGAGGGTGTGGCGGTGCTCCTAAAAAGCTTTACTGACAACCAGAAGGTAAGGCCACAGGCAGCCAACTCCCACCCTTCAAGATAGGAACTTCTCAGCATTTGGAGGCAGTGGCAAGCAGATCTGAGTTCCAGGCCAGTTGGGGCTATATACACATACTGTGTCTCCAAAAAAAGGGTGGGGGGGAGGGGCAGGGCTCACACATGGATGACCTGTTACAGGCTGGGGATATAGTTGGTAGTTGGCCTAGCATGCACAATGCTTGGGCTCCATTCCCAGCACCACATAAGCCTGATGTGGTGCAGTATTGTGATGCTAGCACTTGAAAGATGGAGGCAGGGGAAATACAGAGTTCAAGGTCATCTACAGCTATATAAAGAGCTTGAGGCTAGACTGGACTAGAAACCTCATTTCAAAACAAACACACAATATTTATAACTAAATTTTACTAATGACTATCTGAAACCCTCCTTCTGTGAACTTTTTTCTGTAAGTGTTTCCTTTAGAAGCTGAACTTTTGCCAGATCTTGTAATCAGGTCAAAAACATGCCCTGAGATCTTTTAAAACCACGTCCTCAGCCTCTTCAAATTTAACTGGCCCTTAAGATAACAGAGTACCTATCTTTCTAGCCCCGTTCTTCCCACCAATCAGTTGTTGCAAGTTTAGCTACAGGCTGTACTTTAATGCCTGGGGCCCAGAGTGACTGGGTTTGATTTCTGGTAGTGATTGGCTGAAAGTAACCTTAAACAAAACATCCCATAAATGCTGGAAGCAACGTGTATATAGATTGGCAACATCTTGCTGTTCTGCCTTAGAAAACTTTTAGACTTCTGTAAAAACTCATCACTCCTTCCTTCCCCATACCACGTTTTCTGTGCTGCTCAATATAGAGCGGAGTTCTTTGTAAAGACAGGGAAGGAAGTGGAGAACTGAAACTGGGGTTCCCTCTTGGTCGTCTTTTTCACTCCTTAATGTGACGTGGATACAACTTCCCACTTAAATATCTGACGTTTTATGCTACTGTGTTTTTGAGACAGTCTCACGCTAGGTCAGGCTATTCCCACCATGCTGGATAACAGCTGGCCCCTGGCTATCTAGGGAGACGTGGAAGAGGCTCCCCATGCAGTCACCTTTGGTGTCTTCATGGTGGTTAATGATGAGACCGGCCCAGCGAGGCAGGACATCTATCTGTGTTCTTCCTGGAGAGGGAAACCGCAATTATGGTGTAGCCTGGGAAACAGTGCCCAACAGGGTGCCAAGTAGCATTGACATCCTGGGCACCCCTCTCCAACTCCCCCAGCACAGAGACTTATTCTGTTTTCTTCAAAGTGGGCATGATTTCAATTTACTTTTAAAATACTAGACAGCAGCTGGGCGGTGGTGGCGCACGCCTTTAATCCCAGCACTCGGGAGGCAGAGGCAGGTGGATCTTTGTGAGTTCGAGGCCAGCCTGGTTTACAGAGCGAGATCCAGGACAGGCACAAAGCTACACAGAGAAACCCTGTCTCGAAAAACCAAAATAAATAAATAAATAAATATTACTAGACAGCTAGGATAGAGTGCAGGGACAGAGTGTGTACTTAGCATGCAACTACACCCAAATAGCAAGATAATTCAGCTTTATTTATGTCCAATATACAATCCAGAATGAGCACAAACACATTAGAATGCACGCTGACCATCTTTATGGTTTGAGCCCTGAAAATGACAGCCATGTGTGTAAAACACATCTTGAGAATTGAGGCCTAAACATCATGGTCAGTTGGAGCCAAGCCATAGAGTGCAGTGCTGGGCTGTGATGGCTTGCCCATAATCCTAGCACTCAGGAGCCTAAGGCAGGAAGGCCACACCAATTCAAGTGGCCACACCAACTACAGTGGACAGCCCTGTCTTAAACCAACAAAAACTCACATACTGTAGAAAGGCCACTGAGGGTCTCAGGATTTGAGCCCTCCAGTTCACTGGACCTGCCTCTATGTGGCTTTTCCAAGACAAGGTCTCATGTGACTACGGAGCTGAAGATAACTTTGAACTCCAGATGCTGGGGTTACTGGATGTTCACCACTATGCCAGGCTTTCTTTGTTTCTAATCTTTGAGATTTTATACGACTATTTGCCTGCATGTTTATCTCTGCACACAGTACCCAAAATTATTAGAAGTCACCTAATAATCTGGGACTGGAGTTACAAATAGCTGTGAGCTACCATGTGGGTGCTGTAAATCAAACCAGAGTCCTTGGAAGAGCAGCCAGTGCTCTTAGCAGCTGAGCTACCTCTCTAGGCCCTCACCCTACCCCCAGCTTTCTCTTGTGATTTGAAGTCCAACATGATCCAAGGAAATAACTTGTGGCCCCATTCTGGCATCTTCAGACTGCTGGTCCAGGGTCCCCAGTCCTGTAGGAGTGGCAGCCAAACACTTGGCATGAGCCCAGCATCTGGAACTCCCCTCCCCTCCCCGTGTTCCCTGGTCTCCACTGCTGATGACAACACAATGACACCTGCACCCACTTGAGTGATGGATGACTTAGCACTTGTGTACACAGGTGGACAAGACTCTCTCCTGCACCTGCAGCCCACCGCCCCCAGGAAGGTAGAGATTGGGCCCAGGTAGCCCACTCAGCCAGTGGTTCCAACCCAATGGCCCAGGACTAGATATCCCACCAGCTGTGCCCCTTCCTGCCCTGCCGAGTCTTGGACCTTTCTTCATTACTTACGTTCACAGCAGGTCTGATTTCACAAAGTTTTCTTTATTTAGAAGAACAATATTTGATCAGGGACCACAAAGGCTACAGCAGAGTACAGGGAAATAAAACAGACCAGGACATGACGACTAGCCTTCAAGACCGTGACTAAGATAGATTTGACACTGGGATATCCAGAAGCAAATCTGCTCTCACTCTGGCCCCAAGGGCATCAGTCCTTGCCATAGGAGCCCACAATCTAGGGGTGAAAGAGGTAGCCAGCGCAAAACAACTGTTAGCTCAGTGTGCCTTGGTGAATCTACTTTGTGTGGCAGAAGCTCGAGGACACGGGCTAGATGGGAGCTGGAGAGGTGCAGAAACCTTGGTCTTTCAAACCCACCATGTCTCCATCCCAGGTAAATGTCTTGGCCAGCATCTCCTTTGGAGTGCTCTGTCCCCACTGGCACAGCCATTCTGGAGTGGCTGAGTCAGGATGAGCTGGACGAATCAGAACTGAAGCTGCCGTGAGGCAGCACTGAATTCAACACTTGCCCTTGTTCTTTAAATGCTAGCCCAGAGCTCAGTGACATTCATGCCTGGCTCCAGAGCACATAGGTTACATCAATGAGCGCCATGCCTGGTACAACTTCTGCTAACTGGAAGTCAAACCAAAGAACTTTTCTCTCAACAGCACACCCACCCAACAGAAAGCCAGCATCCCTGTAACCCAAGAAGGCCCTCCCATTCATGCAGGGCTAGTCGAAGGCAATGCGCAGGCTGCGCTCCTGCTCCTTGCGGCGGCCCTCACATACACGGCTGGCCTCTTCCACCCTCCTCTGCAGCAGGGCAGAGCTCTGGTCCACCCACTGAAGGGAGTCCATGTGTGCGTTGAGGATCTTGCAGATTTGCTGCAGTGGGTCGCTGGTGTCTGCAGGGCCACCAGCCATGTTCAGGTGCTCGATGATGTCCTTGAGGTCCTGTGCCATGCGCTTGAGCTGGGCATCGATGTTCTCAGCCAGCTTGAAGGTCTTCTCACGCTCCTCGTCGGCATGCTGAAGGTAGATGGTACCACTCTGCTCCTTCACTGACTCCTCCAATGGGCTCAGCAGGTCCTCCAGCTCCTTCTGCTGTGATAGGATGAAGTCCAGCTCCTGATCCAGTCGCTTCTGATCCAGCTTCACCTTCTCCACCTCGCGGTGCAGACTGGTGATCTTCTCCCCATTCTCAATCAGTGTGCGGTCCCAGGCATTGACCTGTGTGGCCTGCTGCAGGAAGTGCCGCTCCTGATCCTCCAGCTCCAGGCTCCACTTGTTGATCAGGCTTTCCAGCTGTGCGTAGGTCATCGCAGGACTTGTGGTAGTCCCAGCTGCTGTGCTGGAGCCAGGCAGAGAAGTCCCAGTAGTGGCCACACTACCGGGGCCAGTTGGCACCAAGGGTTTCAGGCTCAAGGCAAAGCCAGCAGTGGCAGCAGAGGAGGTGGTGGTGGCAGTGGTGGTGCTGGTGGTGGAGGTGCCGGGAGCTGCTCCAGGGGCCTTGAGGCTGAAGCCCAGAGCTCCAGCACCAGGAGTGGCTGCAGTTGTCACCGGAGCTGAGAGGGACAGCACTGTAGCACTGGATGAGGCAGGAGCAGGCGCTATGGAGGCAAACAGTGTGGACCCTGTGCTGGTGGTGGCAGCAGTGGGTGCAGCAGCAGCTGGCTGTGCCGCTCCTGCGGTGGTGGTCACCAGCGTGGCTGGAGTGAAGGGAGAGCCAGACAGTGCTGTGGGTTGGGCTGAGCTACCCACAGAGCCAATGCTGAAGCCAGACGCTCCAGGCTGGGATGCATTGCCACTGGTGAATGAGAACCCCGTGGAGCCAGTAGATGGAGCAGAGGTGGTAGAGGACCCAAAGACAAAGCCAGTGGGGGCTGTCCCCTGGCTGGAGGTGCCAGCACTTGAGATGGCATTGGTGAGGGTGCTACTGCCAAGCCCAAAGCTGCCAGTGTTGGCTGTAGCGGATGTGGCAGCTGTGTTACTCAGGTTGGGTTTTGGGGTGCTGATCCCCAGGGAGAAGCCAGTTCCTCCAGAAGCAGGCGTTGTTCCAAAGTTGAATCCTGGGGTCTGTGTGGTTGGGGTCTGTGTGGTGAGTGAGAAGAGGCCAGTGGAAGGGGTGGTTGCGGTTGGCTGGCTGGGAGTCCCAAAATTAAACCCTCCAGTGCCGGAAGTAGAGAAGGAAAAACCAGTGGCAGCTGTGGTGGTTGCAGTCTTCGCAGTGCCAAATGTAAAGCCGCCAGCAGGGGCCCCGGTGCCTCCAAAGTTAAACCCACTCATGGCTGTGGAATCTCCAGGTGGCAGCTACTCCGACTCTGGGGCAAATCCGTCAGCGTCTGCAACCTTGGGGAGGTTTCTAGAGCAGAGGAAGTGACATGGTCAGATGGTAGTTTGGGACAGGTAAGCTCAGTGGTGTGGAGGGTAGCGGGCTGGATACAGAGCTGGCAGCAGCCCTGCCTCTTCCTTTGCTAAACTAACAAGCTCCAGTAAACCAACTGGAGTTCAGTACTCCTGGACATGTGCAGCTTCCACTACCAGGGAGGAGGTCTGAGGCAGTCAAGAAGGCACTCTAGTGAGTGGGACCAGGGCACAAGGAACACCCGCACGACCAGTTCTTCCAGGCTGCCAGTACTCGCCCTTGATTCGTGGGGCAGAGTAGGCCCGGGAACTGGGCCCTCTTAACTCGGGGTGGGCATGAGAGCCCATCCAGTGCTCAGGGATAAATAGAGACCCAGATCAGCCAATCAGATGTCATCTGGGGTTCTCCTCTAGGTGGAAGCGAGCAGTCGCCACCAGTGATGAGCCCAAGGGACAAAGGGAAGAGGGAAAAGAGCACTCAGTAAGCCAACAGCACCACAGTCCACCCCACTTAGAGTGCTGGATTTCTGCAAGTTCTAACTGAAGCAGCTCCAGGCAACGGCACCCAGCTGCTGTTCCTAAAGCTTATGTGGTGAGGAAGTTGGCAGGGAGCGCTGCAGGCACCACCTAGGAGGTTAAGATTTTTGTCCCACCAGCACTATGGAGGTAGCTGGAAAGCTGTGTCACCTCCCCAGGCCCCAGCAGATGGTGAGACAGAAGCTGGTACAGGGGACCTGATGGAGTCACAGGGCACTTCCCCTATCCTGGTGTGGGACAGTGAGACAGAGATGCAAAGTCGAATATTTCATACAATACCACAGACACACATTCCATGTGGAATAAAGTGCAGCCGAGTGGACCCTTCAGAGCTGTGTGACCCCTGCTGTGGCCTCTTGAGGCGATAGGCACCCCATCCCTTTTGTGGGCAGCACTGCCCAAAGGCTCATTCCACAGCAGAGAAGCACCACAGCTTCCAAACTGGGTGTGGTAATGACACGTCTTTTTCGTTATTATCTATCTTTTGAGAGAGAGATTCACTGGGACCCTACAACTCGCCAATTAAGTTAGGCAGGCGAGCCGGCCAGAAAGCTCCAGGGACCCACCTGCCCACACCTCTCCTGCACTGAGATGCTAGCACTGGCCACTATGTCCAGCTTTCATGGGGGTGCTGGGGATTGACCTCAGGTCTTCATGCTTGTGTGGTAATCACTCTATTGATCAAGCCACCCCCCAGCCACTGACATTTTGTTCTCTGGGACAGGGTCTCACTATGAAGCTCAGGCTAGCTTCAACCTTACAATCCTTTTTGCCCCAATCTTTCCAATGTAGGGATTATAGGCACATACTGTCGTACCCTCCCTTGCCTGCTGTTCTGAGGCCCTAAGTCCATGGCAGGCTGTGATAACAGCCGGAGGAAATAAACACAGATGTCAAGTGTAGCAGACCCGAGTGACCCAGTCCCCCTCTCAACATTAACAAGAACATTAAGCCCCTCTGAGCTCAGTCCCTGCCTCAGCAAAGTGGGGTGGCACCTAGGGTGCTGAGCAGCTGATAGGAAGACATGATTTGGGGTGCTCTCTGTCCCTGTGACATTTTCAGAGTAAGAAGGCGGCTTGTGGGTAGTGCCAGAGCCCAGCTATGAAGCTCTGAAGAAGACCCAGTGTGGCTAACCTCGGGTTTACTATGAATTTAGTCTGTGGCCCTGGTCAGTGAGTCATCAGGCCGTGACAAAGAACCACAACAGCAGTCCCGAGGCTTCTGGGCAGCAGCCCCTGCCCTACTTTGGAGACAGCACCATGTGGTATTCTCCTTCCTTGGCCCCACAGCAGTCCTGGGAGAGATGCGTTTCTGGACAGTGCACAGAAGGGAGATGGGACTCAGGAGGAAGCAAAGTCGTGTTCCATTTTCCTTCACTGAAAACAGCTAAGGCCTGCTCTGAACTCTGGTCCTGCCCCTTGAGCTTACAGGAGCTTCTGGGGAAGGAGTGTTATTTCACTCTGAAAAGGGCATAGCAGGTCCACTGGAGCCCTGTTAGCACCCAGACAACTCTGGCACGACAGAGACTTCCTCACTGGTGAGCACCTGGACTGGATGAGTTAAAGCTGCCCACGCACCCAATCAACCATGCTTCATACCTCAGTTCTTAAGAACTCAGTGGAAAGCTTTTGCTATTAGTAAACTGCAGCTGAGAATTCTCATTTACAGAAAGTTTGTAGTTACTAAAAAAAAACTATGTCAAGTTTTCCATGCTAAGGTGTTGTGACACTGTTTAAAGTCACCAGCTCAGACCACAGTGCCAGGACATATGGCGGGAACCCAAGTTCCTGGAATAGGTACCCACTAGTCTGTGCTAATGTGACTTATGGTAGTGTCAGAGACCACAGGGGTGACCCTCATGATTCAGGTGAGCTTCCCTGGTTTCAGGCACTCAGAGCCACTGGTACGTGGCTCTCCTGCCAGTCCATGACACAATCCTCCTGGGATGCTGATGGCTTGGCTACCCATACTGTCTCTGCTAGGACAGTTATCAGTATGCAGCACCATGTGTGAGGTCCGGGGACTGAAAGGAGAGGGCCACCCAAGTCCTGTCAAACACTGGGGGCCGGTGGTCTTGGTTACTGGCACCAGTGCTGACACAGCCACAGACGCCATGCCAATGACTTGGACGGTTTGTTTGTTTTTAGACGAGTTCTCACTATATAGCCTGGAACTCACCATGTACACCAGCTCAGAGGCCTGCCTGCCTCTGCTTCTACACCCTGGTACAGGGGCCTGACAAGTATGGGCTAAACTGGAGAGGAAGCTGGAAGCAACGTACTGGGAGGAAGGTGGGGTGATGAGCCAGGTCAGGAACTTGAACTGCTCTGGGGACAGAGATGAGCACAAGCCAGGGCCTGACTCCTTGAGCAAGTGATGACCCACTAAGTCTTGGAAGCCCTTTAGCTGTGGCCCGTCCATCTTCACCAGGGGAGAGGCTCCCAAGAGAGCCCAGGGGAAAGGAAGCAGCCAGCTCCTGGTAACAGGCTCACAACATGGCACATGGGCTAGACAGCCACACTGAGACAGAGGAGTAGCCTAGGCTGCTGCATTCTCCCCAGCCCTCAATCACCAGCCTTCTTCCCAGTTCCACAACCTCCTTCCACCCATGTCTTGGTTAGTTTTCTGAGCCATGCTGGCTGCCTTGCTCCTGCCTCCTGAGTGCTGGGATTTCTGATGTGAGCCTTAATGGCAGTGGAAGGTCCTTCGTGCTTCCCGATCATCTGTGTGCTGACTCACAGCCGGCCTGCCAAAGTCACTCGTACTACTTTTCACACTCAACACTACCCTAAGCAAGATGGCTACCAAGCAGGGAATTAGGGCTTGTCCTCTGAACCCAAGTGGTGAAGCACAAACAAATTCCACCTGCACACTTATCCACACGAAAGCTGAGCACTCACTGTGGTAGCAGTGCTGTGTCAAAGCAACAGGTATCACTAGCATGTGCTAGAAGAAGTGTGTGCCTTATGTGGCTAAAGGACTTGACAGACACAAGATGAGCTCAAGATGGAGATAGCTCTGGATGACCCATCTGTACCCAAGGCTATCACACAGGTCCCTCAGTAGAGTGTTGTGGGATATTACTTTAAGATGTGTTGCGTTCTTTTATGTTGCATTTGTTTAACTCTGGGAAGCTGTGTTACTGTGCCTGTCTAAAACACCTGATGGTCTACTGAAGAGCTGAGTGGTCAATAGGTAGGCAGGAGAGGGACAGGCTGTGCTGCCAGGCAGAGGGAGTGAATGTATAGGAGAAATCCAGAGAACAGAGAAGAGCGAGGGGGGGGGGAGAGAGAAGAGGAGAAGAGGACTTCAAGGGCCAGCCACCCAGCCAGCCACGGAGTAAGAGGTTAAGAGAGGTATATAGAATAGAGAAAGGTAAAAGCCCAGAGACAAAAGGTAGATGGGATAAGTTAAGAAAAGCTGGCTAGAAACAAGCCAAGCTAAGGCTGGGCATTCATAAGCAAGAATAAGTCTCCGTGTATTTATTTGGGAGCTGGGTGGTTGGCCCCCAAAGAGCAAAGAGTAAAACAAACAAAACAAAACAAAACCAACCAACTACAGAGGAGGAAGAAGAGGTCACAAGCCAGGAAGCTGGGTCACAATGGTGTCACTCCATTTGTGCTGGTTTGACCCATGTGGTCAGTGAGTCACCGGAGGGAACCGAGGAGAGGCCATGTGCAGAACAGAGCTCATTTAACAAGAGGCACAGTTGGGAAGTCTAGTGTGGGATCAAGAAGAAGCTGGAGATGGGGGTGGGGGGTGGGGGCGCGGGCCATGCACATGAAATGTTCAAGAGTCAGGTGTGGATGCTGCTTCACCGGGGCTATATATCTTCATATGCACAGTAAGCACTATCCACCAAGAGACCTCAGCAGCAATAAGCTATCTGTGACAGACTGACCAAGGATGATGGCATCTGTTTGTTTTGTTCTGGGCAATTATGTAAGTGCTCATGGCTAGTCTGAACAAGAGCGAGATCCAGGAAAGGCGCAAAGCTACACAGAGAAACCCTGTCTCGGGGAAAAAAAAAAAAAAAAGAGCTGCATGTAACTGCATGTTACATCACAGTACTAGCCAGAGCACCACTCAACAGGCTCTGGAACCTTCCTGAGTGGAAAACAGGATCAAAGAGGGTATAGGCTGTAACTAACCTCTTCAAGGGAATACAGCAGAGGCCCAGGCCAGCCATACAGTGGAGATGGAAGCCCCGAGGGCATCTTACCCCAGACTCCTGCTGCCCCCCAGTCCTGGCCCCGGGATCTGAGTCTTAAGGTTGCCACCGTACCTCAGGTTTTCCATCTGAAAAAGTAGGGTATTAAAGAATGAATGAAGATCAGATCCCCGTCAGGTGCTAGCTGGGGAAAAAAACTTAACAGGTTTTGTTCTGGCATACAGCCAGTGGCCACCAGGTGGTGCTATGACAATGCAGAGCCAGGGAAGGACTGGACAGCAGCTAGCTCT